CCCCCGCCATCACTGCTTCATCAGGCCGCCGTGGTCTTTCTCCTAAATTCTGGCAACAATCTGATGTCTCCCTCTAAGGCTGCCTCCACCTCAAAGCCAGAGGCCTCTTTCTGATGGTGAGACCAAACCTGATCACATTGCACCTTCAGTGGCTCCCTATTACCTTCAAGAGAGCAGCCAAACTCCTTGGTGTGACTTGTAAGGGCCTTTTTGATCTGGTCTTTCTTTGATCTCCAACCTCGGGCTTTATACCGCTGCTCTGGCCCCTCCCAGAGGCCCCGAAGGCCTGCGGTCCCTCAGCGATCCAGAGGCTCACTCTCAGTGATCTGCTCAGCAGAGAAGAGAAAAAAAAAGAAGAAAAAGAAGCCAGGGTGGCAGAAGGAAAAGTGGGGCACCAAGGAAGCTGGGGGGGGAGAGAGTGTCAAGGATATAATGGTCAACACTGTCAAAGGGGGCAGAGGAGACAAAGATGCAGGGGACGCGAGAGCACCTGCTGACTGTGGCCATCAGGAGAGAGCAGTGCCGGGGAGCTGATGACTTCCAAGGGGACATGCCTGCTGGCTTGTCATACGTATTCTTTCTTTTTCTCACATTTTTGAAGCCAAGTGATATTTTGGGGGAATCTTCAACACATTTCCAGACATTTGTAAAGCCCACAGATTTCTATGCTCTCATCAATTTGGCCTAATGGGTAGACGGAGGGAGACAGATTGCTGGCAGCGTTGTCTGAATGTCTGGGTTCAGCCTGAAACCCTGACGCCTAGGCCTGCTCTTAAATTGTTGAACCATGTGATTCAGTACATCCCACCCCACCCCCTTTTTTGTATTAAGCCTGTTTGAGTTAGGTTTCTATTGCTTGTAACCAAAGGAGAAGTCACTTTTTCTGTAAGGGCTCAAATGCATTTTGTTCTGTGCCCTCATTTCCCAGAAGAAGACATTAAAAAAAAAAAAAAAAAAAAAGAGTCCAGAAATTTAAATCATTTGCTCTATGGCTCTGCCCCCCCTTATGGGGCTGGAATCACAGTCTATTTTGCAGCTTTGTGTTCGGGCTCTTAGGTCCCATGTCTGCCTTGGCCCTCTGGCCCTCTGGCCCTCTGGCCCTCCGCAGTAACTCTGGGGAAGCTGGGAGTGGGCCTTACTCGTTGCTCTACTCATCCAGGGTAGGAGAAGGTTAAGGGGATGCTTGGCTCTTAAATAAAGTAAATAGGTGAATGGGTGAACAGGTGAGTGGGGGAAGGAAGGAAGGAAGGAAGGAAGGAAGGAAGGAAGGAAGGAAGGAAGGAAGGAAGGAAGGAAGGCAGGCCGAGAACCCTGCTCCCACAGGTTCAGGACTGAGCAGTGGCCGGGCAGTGTGGCCATTCTTATCAGCTTTGGCCTAACTGAATCGGAAATCACAAGCTGATGGTGCCTCTGTGGCCGCCCTGCTCCTCTTATCAGCTGCTGGGTCTGTAACTGCACTGGGTGTGGTGGCCACAGGGGCGGCTGCTTGGTGCCTGTGGACGGCTCCAGAGCTGCCCCCTGCAGGGAGCTGAGGCTTCTCAAGTTCCTGTGTCTCAGCCTGGGCATTTGGAAGTCTGTCCCTGTAACTCGTCTTGGGGCTACGAAGCTACTGATCTTTTCTGCAGACTGCTTCTGTTCCACCTTCCTTCCTCCTCCCAGGAGAGCCCCACCCAGCCCCTTCTTTTCAGACAAATATGTCTCACCTATTTTTTTTTTTTTACTCTTTTTTAAATTCCAGTTTACATTCAATATAATTCTGTATTAGTTTCAGATGTATAGCATAGTGGTTAGACAATCATATACTTTACAAAGTGGTCCCAACAGTATTTCAAGTTCCCACGTGGCCTCATGCATGGTTATCACAATATTGTTGACTACTCCCTGTGTTGGACTTGACATTCTCGTGACTATTCTGTAACTACCCATTTGCACTACTTAACCCCTTCCCCTCTTTCGACCAGTCTCCCAACCCACCTCCCCTCTGGCAACCATCAGTCTGTTCTCTGTATCTCTGATTCTGTTTCTCTTTTGTTTATTTTGTTCTTTAGATTCCACATATATGTGAAATCATATGGTATTTGTCTCTGTCTGACTTATTTCACTTAGCATAGGTCCTTCCATGCTGTTGCAAATGGTAAGATTTCATTCTTTTTTACAGCTGAGTAATATTCCGTTATATATGTGCACCACAGCTTTTTTACCCACTCTTCTATGGATGGGCACCTGGGTTGCTCCCGAATCTTAGGTATTGTAAATGATGCTGAGATGAACACAGGGACGTGTATATTCTTTTGCATCAGTGTTTTGGGTTTCCTTAAATATATACCCAGACGTGGAATCGCTGGGTGTTTTGATGGATTCAAAGTGAGGAGACCCCCAAATCTGACTCTAAGAATAAACAGCGGTAAGGTGTATGTGAAAAATGGATATAAAGCAGAGTTCTTTATGCCATAACAGTGCCATAGGGAAAAGGCTTGGGGTGGGGT